CAATGTCTCCCAGAATTATGAACTTCCACCACACCTCAAGTCTGCATTAACAAAGGTAGAGGTGATGAAGCTGTCTGTTAGTTTCCACTTCACTTTTAAAATTGTTGACTATATCAAGTTCAGCCTCCTGAATGTCTTGCCTCTCAGGGTTCTCTCTCCTGGTTGTGACTAGCCAGCTCTTATTTGGTTTGATGGACAGCAACATGGCATCATGCCCCTAGAAAGAACTCCTATCCATATACTCTTTTTTTTGGGTAAGAAAATGACACCATTATAAGACACAATGTGTTTGAATGAGCAAATGTATTCAGTTCCTAGTTGCCATGATTCTAAGACAAGACAGTGGAGAATGGGAGCTAATAATATGGTAGTTTTTTTGCTTTTCTCCACTTACCTAATAGGCAAACTTCGATTCATACCTCAAAACCAAGGTCAAGTAGCCCGTGAAGGGTGAAACACTTTCTGACATTTCTGGGAGAGTTACCCACTTCTCTCCCCATACAGCCACGTAACTTTCACACTTTCCATGATGAATGTACTGCTCTAGTTTTCTATGTATGTGCCTATCTTTTCCTTTAGATTATGCGGACTATGAGGGGCAGATACATGTTTTAATCTCTAACTTTCCAGAACCTAACATAGCCCTCAGCATATGTGAAGGACTTTGCTAATAATTGTGAATAAGAGACTAAGTTAATAGGACTTAAAAGAGAATCATAAATTTCAACAATTCCATGGACTGCTGCTAAAATTTTCTTACATGATACCATTGCACTAATCGAGTTCTGTGGACTCAGGTCTATGAAAGGGGTTCCAGAGATCTGCTGACATCTGTCCGCTGTGCTTGGTTTCTGGTGTTACCCCACCTCAATGGCCTTAATCACACCTTTGCCAATCCTTGGCACTTTTAAAAATATTTATTTTATTATTTGAGAGGGATGGAAGGGGTTAATAAGGAAGTGGGAAAGAGAAATAGAGAGCTCCTATCTGCTAGTTCATTTGCCAATGCCTGCAAAAGCCAGCGGGCTAAAGCCAGGGGCCATGACCTAAATATGAAACTCCCACATGAGTGGCAGGGATCCAATCTCTTGAGATATCATCTGCTGCCTCTCAGGGTGTACATCAGTGGGAAGGTGGAGATTGGAATAGAGCCAGGACTCAAATCCAAGGCCTCCTATCTAGGATGTGGGTGTACCAACCAGTGGATTAAACTCTACGCCCAATACCCACCCCAATCTCTGGGCTTTAGAACATAATGATCAAAGAACATCCACACGTTGTTCTTATTTTTCCTTTGGATTGACTTTAAGATTTTGACAATCCTATCTACCTGCAAAATCTTGTCTTTTATCTTTTCCAAAAGCATCACTGAAAAGTCCTAATCATTATTGAAATACTGGAAGCCCAAATGATCTGCCACAGCACTCTGTGGATGAGAACCTAAGTTCTTGGCAATCTTACTTCAGGAAAGCAAGAAAGTGATCTGCTTGGTTTTGTTGGTCCTCTCTACTAGATATTTGTCAAAAGGATGCTTTATCACAAATGGTTCAAAAACTCCTGGGAAATGGACTGATCACATCAGGAGGTGGCGGATGGGAGATACATTTATGTGTTGCATTCTTATCACCAAGGCAAGATTCCTTGGAAAGAACAAACACTCTGAGGGGTCTGGCTCTTCAATGCCACAATTAGGTCAATAAACACAGGATCGTGGTTGTTTACTCATTAAATTTTGACCACCTGTCTTCGTGTATAGGAAGCACAAGTGTTCCAGCCAATGTGGCTCAAAAATCTATTATCTTCCTGAAGCCATAGGCTTGCAAGTTAGTTTGTTTCACTGTTGATAAAAACTTGCTAGGGCGTGGGACACGATGTAGGTTTCCCATGTAGGTGACAGGACCCAACAACTTGAGTCATCACCTGCTTCCTCCTGGGTGTGCATGAACAGCAAGATTGAATCAGGAGCAGAGTTCAGACTCAAACACAGACACTGTGGTATGAAATGTGCACGTCCCAAGGGGTGTCATAACTGCTACACTAAATGCTCAACACTAGGTTCTCTATCTTAAAATGGCAATAGGGACAGTTCCTCCCAACCGCATGGGTCACTTCCAGGCTTGAATGAGACAGACGATGTATGCGAAGTATCAGTGACAGGCATGCACAACCATACACAATATCATTTTTTTTTTTTTTGACAGGCAGAGTGAACAGTGAGAGAGATAGAGAGACAGAGAGAAAGGTCTTCCTTTTGCTGTTGGTTCACCCTCCAATGGCCGCCGCGGCCGGCATGCTGCGGCCGGCATACCGCGCTGATCCAAAGGCAGGAGCCAGGTACTTATCCTGGTCTCCCATGGGGTGCAGGGCCCAAGGACTTGGGCCATCCTCCACTGCCTTCCCGGGCCACAGCAGAGAGCTGGCCTGGAAGAGGGGCAACCGGGACAGAATCCGGTGCCCTGACTGGGACCAGAACCTGGTGTGCCAGCGCCGCAAGGCAGAGGATTAGCCTATTGAGCCACGGCGCTGGCTACACTATCTTCTTTCCTTCTACTCTGTCTACAAAAACAGCTATTCAACTTTGGAGGAGACGCACAGTTTGACACACGTTCCCTCGGACTTACTCCCAATGGTAAAGCTAAAAACTTGCCATGGGACTCCAAATCCCATTAAGTTGGCAGGTACCAATGCCATCTTACTAGTTAAAGTGATTAGTTTAAGTATATAACTGATCATAAAGATAGGAATAAGTGTCAAAGGGATCACATAAATAAGACCAAATGTCTGCTAATAACAATAGATAGAATTAAAAAGGAGAGAACGATCCAACATGGGAAGCAGTCCACACAGCAGACTCAAAGAATGACAAATGCCCTAAAGAGCACTCTGGCTTCAGAATCAGCCCTTAAGGCATTTGGATCTGGCTAAAAAGCCCATAAGAGCATTTCAGGCATGAAAGTCAAGACACTGTGGCAAAAAAAAAAAAAAAAAATATGGCCTACAAGAAAGATCTTTGTGAGTGAGATCCCAGTGGAAAGAAGGGACCATCCGAAAAGGAGAGACCTTTCTCTGAAGGGAGGAGAGAACTTCCACTTTGCTTATGACCCTCTAAATACTGGCATTTGTGGACTCAAAAGGCATCCATAGCCTTGGCAGCCCATGTCAAGAGCCTCGGGTGATCACTGACGTCATAAATAAGAGTGTCAATTGTTAAATCAACAGGAGTCACTGTGTACTTGCTCCCCATGTAGGACCTCTGTCCTTAATGAGCTGTACTATGAGAATTAATGGTAAAACTAGTCTTCAAACAGCACTTTATACTTTGTGTGTCTGTGTGGGTGCAAACTGTTGAAATCTTTACTTAGTATAGAGTTAATCTTCTGTATATAAAGATAATTAAAAACGAATCTTAATGAAGAATGGGATGGGAGAGGGTATAGGAGGTGGGATGGGAGTGGGGGTGGAAGGGCAGGTATGGAGGAAGCACTGCTATATTACAAAAGCTGTACCTATGAAATTTATATTTATTAAATAAAAGCTTTCTAAAAAAAGAAACTATTTTGCAAGTAATCATCTATTAATATAAAAATAGGGTGACTAGTTACCAACAAACTCCCTGACAGTTCAACAATGTGGGGAGAAAAAAGGACAGAAAACCTTAACCAGCTTTAAGAACATCTTCAACCACGACACGACTCCGAGTCAGCCTCCTGCACAGCTGTCTATTAGTGGAGCACTCTATCACGGCAGGCATTTAAATGTATACACTTAAATTCTCTATAGAGAGTATACATCTGAATTATATATGATAGCATATAGAATATATAATAGTTTTAATTGTCTACATATTTCAAGCTTTAGAGATAAAGAATGCAGGTGTGGTTAAAAATACCCTACAATTGTCCAAAAATAAAGCTTTGGAGTGATTACAGTGACAAGGCCAAATAACTCATTCATGCTCAAAATCTTATTTTAGAAAACCCAAAATGTTATAGATGAGACACAACTCTACATGCAATCTATGGCTTTCAATTCCTAGAAAGAGTACAGATTGTTTCTGACTTTCCTCTAACCAAAGCAGTTAAAGTTTAAAGACGATTTGATAACTTTTTCATCCGTCAATAGAAATTAGGCCGTCTCTGTTCAGTCTCCCTGGTTCTTCCGGGCATAGAAACAATAGCAGCCGGAGTGCAGGACCCCAGGAGAGTGTGGGGATGAAGCAGCAAGGCCCTTTCAATATCTGTCAGTTACACCCCCTCCTACCACGCTGTGACTGATGGCTCTTCTTTCAGGTCATTAAGGCACGCATGGCTTTGGAAGGTGGCACAAGGACTGAGGCAAAGGCAGAAACAAAAGAAAGCCCAGCCTGGAGATGTTTTCCCACCTGCTCCCTCCTAACTTCTGGGCTGCCCCTTCTCTCCTGTTTGTGTTTATACATTGCTGTTTGCCCCACAGGCATCAAGCTGTTAGTGTGTACAGGCGGGATTGAAGCAGGACTGCACGTTGGATGAAATATAAATTAAAATTACACTTCTGTCAGTCTGGAGTCAGGGACTGTTTCTCAAGGTCTCCCCAAACACTTAATTTCAAATGAGTCTTCATTTATTACTTCAAGAAAGGCCAAATGCATAATTTATCAGCAGCTTTCAGTCAATATACCCTTATAAGCATCTTTCCCATGAGCCTTTGAGTAAAAATATGTTATGCTAATTCTATTAGTTGGGTACACAAGAGCTGTCTAAGAGAGTAAACAAGCATTAAAAGGAGACACATGTGAACAAAGAAACACCTATCAACCCACTGTCCAGGGTCAAATTAGCAAGGGAAGAAGGAGGTGGCAAGCTTGCCCCATTGTTTACATCAAGGCTGTGTCTCCCAGCAGAACGTGGAGCTGCCTGGTGGCTCTGAGTGCATGAGTCAGGGTAGGGGACAGGCAGACTGTGACCCTCTCTGTGGGAGATGGGTGGGGTGTGCCTCTCCATGAGCTGGGGACAGGGACTTACCGGGTCTCCAGCGGCACGTTGCTGTTTAGCACCCAGCTGTCCTGAAGCTGAACGGACTCCGGTGTGGTGGCCAGGTCATTGGGTGCTGGAGCTGGGGCGTGGATCTGACTCCGCCGATTGGTCAGAGAGTTCCTGTTGAGGGAGTTGGCCGACGAGTGGTGATGGGACAGTGTGTGGTTATGAGGGGGTGGCAGAGGGGGCCTCAGCGTGGACTGGCTGTGGTGGTTTGGAGGGCCTGCCAAAAGAAGGAGAAAGAGCCATCAGCATCCACACATTCCAGTCTCAGGCACTCTGCAAATCTGCAGAGTTTGGAAGCAAAGTCTCTATGATGACAATCACCAAACACCACAAACCAGACTAGACAGGCAAGACTGCAGAAAGCATCCCAGGACTGGCGACAATTATACCTGTAGTACTTTGCATTTTACCAAAGGCATCCCAAGAACAGTAACAGCAAACCATGCTAACCACACCGGGTGGATGGGTGGATGAGGGCTGACCTCTGAGACTATGTGAAACACTTCAATACCACAAGGAGAGTAACATGACACTCAAGGTGGTAACAAGTCCAGCACACTCACTATGCATATTCTTTCACAGGTATCTCATCTTTCTCACGGCAATCATAAGACTGTATCAGGGAGCAACACTGTCATATGCAAAGAGCCTTCCCAAAGTTCAAGGAAAACAGAATGAAAAGATGCTGCCAATTTCCCATCCCCCCCCCCTTTTTTTTTGAAGCCCCTGCTACCTGTAGGGACCATCACCTGCATTTGTGGACTGAGCGGAACTGCAGAGGGGAAGAGTGCCCCCCCCCCTTAGGCTCCAGCCAATCAAGGCCACGTGACACTAGGGAGGGCTCGAGGTGGCGGCATATTCTAGCTTTTCTAGAAAAGCAGAAGATCTGGAGATGGGGTAAAAATTCCCAGTCTTTGAAAATACTGACAATTAATGCAAAGTATACAAACGTTGTGTGCATATATGTACATAAGCATTTGCATATATATGCTTGTGTTTCCATATACAGATGAGTAAATATGAGGGTACTTCAAAGCATTCGTGGAAAAACACAGTTGAAGGTCGGAGCTTATTTTGGCGCCAAGTATTTTTTCAGTACATTTTTCATTTTATGTGGGAAATGTGAATTATGAAAAAAACGATGCATGCATTTCTAAAGTTATTTTGCACCAAAATAAACTCCAGTGTTTCATTCCATTTTTAATTCCTGCAAACTTTCTGAAAACTACCCTTGCATCTCTGATATACACACACCATGGTTTGTGTGTGTGTGTGTATGAGAAAATGAGAATCAACGCAGTACACCTGTGAGTCGCCTCATTCTGGGAGCCTGATGACTTCTTTCCTGGGAGAGGTGAACCCTGAAGACCCGGTTTCTGCAGAAGGTCAGGGCGTGCCTTTTCAAACCTTGACCCCGGACTCCAAATCGCATCCTATTTTTCAAACAACAAAATCCTCCAACCATGCAGGAAAAAAAAGAACAAAGGAGAACTCTCCCTCTGCAAACACCTCCTTGTAGCAAATATCACCACACAGGATAACTCCATGCAAGGTTTTCCCAGCAACCGATTCTCAATCCATACAATATTTGAAGCCTAATGAAAACGAAAGCAGTTCCCGTGCAATAGAAGACTGTAATTTTGCTTTCATGGATGCCGAAACATGACTTTTCATTTGTGTCCTTCGACAAAGTTTATTTTCTGAAGCCTCCAGTCGGGGCTGGCAGCTCACCAGGTGACTGCTGAGCCTTGTCATTTTGGCCCCTGCCAACTTTTAAAATCCTCGGCTCCTGCTGTCCTGGCTTTAAGAAGTTGGCTCAAGTCATTTAAACAAGCAATTTGACACAAATTTCAACTACTTGTCTCCTTATGTGGCCGGGCTACATCTCCAAAAGGTGTAATCTACATGCTAGGGTTCCTGGGAAGACTGAGAAACATTCTGAGAGACAGACAACACTGCCAGTAGATTCCAGGTTTGGAGAGTCGCAAGCCCAAGAGAAAGGAGGAAAAATCTAGGGGAAACCAGTTCCTGGAAGGAAGTTTTCATGTCTGGGCTCTGGATGGATGGAAGTTACTTGGGGAAAGGGTTTTTGTGTTTTTTTTTTTTTTTTTTAATGTTCAGAAAAAGACAACGAAAACTCCAACCCGGTGGTAAATGCCGCTGTGCAGTTGTGTAGATTTGAAATCATGTCCTCCAAATGAACCTCTAATTCATATTTTACATTATGCATCGGTGACATTTTGAATATATCTTTGGGGGCGTCTCATCGCTGGAGCAGGCTATTATATTTTCCGGCATTGTTGTCTGTCTAGTAATGTATTATTACATAGTTATTTAGCATTTGTCTGTCTCCTATGAGTGGAAAGGAGTGGGGAAGCGGGGTGAGATGATGTGATAATGATTCCTCAGAGATGCTATCCTAGCCCCTCTCACACAGTTCATGAATTCTCATGCCTGCCTTTCCCCCACTCCCAACTGCCTTCCAAGTGGTGTCATTATTCCCCATTAGTGGGGTAATTACGAGACTTGCCTTGGGAAGACGGGGTGAGTCAGCGTGCAAGTGAGAATGAACCCTCCCCAGCCCAAGCCCCAACGTGGGACCTCGTGCTGCCTCCACCTTGCACCCTCACCCCTGCAGACCACACACTTTCCCCAGGTACAAAGAGGCCCCTGTCTATTCCTTTGCTTTTTTTTTTTTTTAATCCATTAAATGAATTACCAGGCCCCTCCACCACCCCCACTTCCTCTGTGCTCCCATGCCCCCTTCAGCCTGTGTGGCCTTTCTCTGTCCAACTGTGTGGGCAGAATTCCTCAGGTTGTTTGTATGCACAAGGGATCCAGGGATGGTGCCCAGGGGGAATGGAAGCAGCCACTGGAGCACTAAGCTGCAAGCTCCAAATAAAATGGATGTTGAGTTTTCCATTTAAAGGGGTGGAGTGGTCAAGTTCACTTCCCATTTTCCCTGAAGACAACCCCTAGAGCTTCTCAGGGTGAGTGTGGGGGTGGGGTGTGGGCGGGAGCTAGCAAAAGCAGAATAAGAGGAAATGAAATAATACTTAATCCTCCATTCACCCTTCCCTCCTGTGAAGCCGCATGTTATTTCACTGCAAATAAATAAGTCATAACAACTAAAACAAAAATTATGCAGCATCCTCAGTTTTCAAAGATGTTCGCATTGCTCTTGTTCATTTGCACTGAGGCACTGATGAACTTGCTCACTGTGTGTCTCTCCAACAGCCATGTTTTTCAAGGAGGTGCAGCAGACAGAAGGAAAAGGCACTTTTTTTTTTTTTTTTTTTACAGGCAGAGTGGACAGTGAGAGAGAGAGAGACAGAGAGAAAGGTCTTCCTTTAACGTTGGTTCACCCTCCAATGGCTGCCATGGCTGGTGCGCTGCGGCCGGCGCACCGCGCTGATCCGAAGGCAGGAGCCAGGTACTTATCCTGGTCTCCCATGGGGTGCAGGGCCCAAGTACTTGGGCCATCCTCCACTGCACTCCCAGGCTACAGCAGAGAGCTGGCCTGGAAGAGGGGCAACCGGGACAGAATCCGGCGCCCCGACCGGGACTAGAACCCGGTGTGCCGGCGCTGCTAGGCGGAGGATTAGCTTATTGAGCTGCGACGCCGGCTAAAGGCACTTTCAATACAGTGGTGGGGATACATACCTCAGTGATATGGGAACATCTAGGAGGGGCGGTTAGCTAAAGAAGTTGCTTGCATGAACCCAGGCATGCTACCTCCTTTCTGGAATTCGCAGCCTACTCATCTGCCAAATGGTGAAACCTGCTAAGCTTGCTATGAAAGAGGAAAGAAAATTGTAAAGGGCTAAGTGTGCCACCTAAAGGCCAGAAAGTTCCCCCAAACCATGAGCACAAAACCTCTTTGGGTCCCTTCAGGGATAAAGGATGGCCACGACATAACTGCGGTGCTCAAGGGCCTGGAAGGGAGCAGAAATAAACACAGACTTCATCATCCACCCAGGGCAAGAGCTGGCTGTAAGGAAAAATGTGAAGTCATGACGTGTGCACTGTCCCAGATTTCTGGTTCTGTGTTCCCTCATGACAACAACTGGCTATGGCCAAAGGTCCTGGGTAGTTTCTCTGGTGGGCCATAAACCCTAATAACCCTTCTATGTTAATGTGGCCGGATATATGCATCTACACATTTGTTACATTTTCCACTCCTAGTTTAACTGGTGGTGGCCTGGTATTCAGTGTGGGTAACATGAGTCTAAGACACTACAACCAATAATCTCAAACACTTTTTGCAATTATCAGTTTTTATTCCTGTCATCCAATGTACGTGCTTCTTAGGTTTTCTGTCTCAAAAATGCCAACAATGGCTGATGCTAACTTGTCCTGTAGTTCTTCAAGAGGGAAAATTCATGAAGAGCCCTTCTCCAAAGCAGCCAATGTCCTCCGTTCACTCAAAATAGAAATGAGTAATTCAGCTTGCTGAAGGAACCCCAAAGCCCACTCTAAGTTTCACACAATTATTAGGTTTAATTAATGCACATATTATTACTGGTTTGTCTATTACATAGCAATGAAGTCACATGATAGTACAATGTCACCACAAACGATGAGTTTGTGATAAGTTGATACTTATACAGTATCAACCTAGTAAGCACGCTACTAGTAGGAATAAAAACTGAAGAAGAAAGCAATGCTTTTCTGTTGTCTAATAGTACCAATTTCAATGAGGATGTGGCCAGTGCAAAACCTTGGGTTATCAACTCTTGTGCTGGCTACATTAGAGCAGTTTAAACTGATGTGGAAACAACCAATACCCACATTGGAAATAACAAAGGAAGGGAGAACTTTGGGGGAGGGAAGGAAGTAAATAGTTAATAACTGGCTATTGTTGCTGCACTTGGCCTAAATAAACGGCTGGAGGGCAGGCAGCATTTAGGTTGGGTCTACTCTTGTGAAAGGTGGGGGTAGGGAAAGGTGGGAGGGCACCCCCACAATAAGCAGCCTTGTTTTGCTCTATGGTCTATGATTAAAACGGATGACAAAATGGACAAAAGAAAAAAGAAAAGCAGGGGCTTGCATAAGTGCTGCATCACTCATTTCTAAAAATGGTATGCCAATTGTTAGCCTTTCAAAACTCCATACCCCTCAGACCCAAGATGATGCATTAACCACAAACTCACTGCCTTCTCCTCCTCCTCAGCCACCTGGTTGAGGCAAGTTATATCTTGACAACAATTTGAAGAT